AATTCTCTACACAAAGCAGTACAATAGCACACTATTAATGGAACATGCCTGCAATAAAGAATAGCCTATTTAAGGCCTTCAACAATAAAAGGGATCTTGTGTCGTGGTTTTGTGTATCATCTAACGGGATACACTGTGTTCTCGATTATTTTGCGGGAGAGAAAACATCCTTTCAGTGTTATACACTGTATCTTTGAATCTCTCTTTTTGGTATCGTTTCTGATTTTCAGCTGCAGATTCCTGCTTCATTTGACTCTAGACATTATTCTGCCAGAAAGAAGCACTATTATAAGCTCACTGGGAAAGAGACAGAAATGGGACTTACAAGGACTTCACTGGGCTAGATCATACATGCAGTGGGTCTTTTCTTTGGCATTCTTCCCTTCCTATTTTTAGCCTTTTAAGAGCTGCTTCCACTTCCTTCTTTTTAAGCAATCTGTTAAGAATGGGCTCAGGTGAACATCCATGTGGTGATGACTTCATCTCTGACTACTCGCAGCTGCCTGCCTGCTTGGAAAAGGCCAGCGTAAACAAAATGAGCACATGCTGAAAACTCCCAGCGATGGAGCTATTATATGAAAGATGCAACAACAACATTGTTAATCATTAGCTGCATTGCATGAACTGATGGAGTCGATTACTGATACTTGCATTGTCAGGAACATTTCATTCCACAGAACTGTTTTTCAGGGAAAGTTGAATGGGAAAAATAAAACCGATTCACTTGAAAATATTCTAGAACTGATGTTGAAAACCCACAATGGCATTTGCCTGAAAGTGAGGTCCTGCCCCAGGCACCCAGCTCCGCTCCCTGCTTGCCTCCTTACTTGGAGTTGCACAGGGGCAAGTGGGTCTCCCCTGTTTCTCTCCAGCTGATGGAGCCCAACTTTCCGCCAGCTTCCCAGTCCACTTTGCAGACCAACCAGTTCAGTAGTCTCTCCCCACCACTCAAGTGGGCAGCTCTATTGTCTTTTTAATTTTTCTCCCAAGTGGTGCCTGTACAAACACATTGTGAAACTCCCTCCCCACAGAAGGGCACCTGAGACACACATTTCAGCATCCTCCAAATTTTCTTGATTGTAATTTTTTGCAACCCACCCTGGGACCTCAGGCTGAAGGGCAGGCAATAAATCAGATCAATGACTAGAGTTTAAAAACATATATATTTAAAAAATAGAATCATTTTTACAACAGAGGAGGAAGGGGAGAAATGCTTAGTGACTACCGTAGTTCCCAGCTCTACAGTGGGAACTTTAGCTTCTCCTAAAAACATGAAGCATGTTTCCCCTGACTTAGACTCAAGAGAGAATACTATGTCTGACATAAACATAGTGAATATACTTCCACACTGGAAACACTGCTAAAATAGGGCTGCTCAGAAAAATGGCATCTGGGTGGATATTTGCTGAATTGGCCAAATGTCCAGGAAAAACCTGGACGTATGGCAAGTTAGGCTATTTTTATTTTTAAAATCTGAAAAAATCAAAGAAAAGCCCCCAAATGTTTTTTTTTTGGGGGGGGGATGTTCCCAAGAAAGGCTCAGCAACTCTGTCTGGATTTTCACTTTGGGGAATTGGCAATCCTAGCTAAAATTATGCTCACCCTCCCTACAACACTGATATGTGGTAGCCCTGTGGGGTGAACTTTCTCTAGCCAATTTGTCCATTTGCAGTACAAGAGCCTGTGCAGAAGTGTCATGTCTCCTCTGGCCAGTTCTAGCAGGGCAGTTTGCCCCTGCATGCCACCCCTGCTAAGAGCCATTCACTGATCACTGCATTCTTGGAATAGATGGTGATGAGAAGGCAAATGAGGAAACTGAAGCTCTTCCAAATACATGCAGAAGCTGATCAAAAGAAGAAGACAAATCATTTCCCCCCTCTCTCTCCTCCACTGTTTGATGGGGCAAGTAGCAGATTGCAGGAGATGGGACAAAAGCACATCATGGCTCTTACGCTGTTTTGGGGTTGGCAGATCCCGCTTGCATCACTCTGCAGTAGGTGACTGTTCTGGAGTTATCAAACCTGCAGTGCTGCAAAGGATGGATTCTATCAAGCATATAAAGATGAAATCATCACGCCTGCTCTAAAATGTAAGGGGAAATTCACCATTAGCTCAGCTTCCTATCACCTGCACTCTCTGCTACTGTCACAAACTTGATTCCTGGCTAGCTAGTTACGGAAACATATATGAAGCTGCAATCCTATTCCCACATGTGTGGAAGTTTATTGAACTCAATGAGTAACTTCTGAGGCTCCTTTGGGAAGATGGGCAGGATATAAACAGCCCTGAGATATTTGGGCAGTCTGCTTTGCTTCTCTGAAAGATGCCAGCTGCTCCTCCGTGGCTGCAGCAGAGGAGAATATACTAGCTGCCTGGACTGAATTCACAAAAGCCCCTGTGCAGATGGGACCTTGACAAGAGTCAGGAATAGAGGAGGGAAATGAGGCATTTAAGTAATTTTAAGACTCTGAACTTAATGGACTTAGGGTTTCCCATCTTGAGATAGTAATGTGTATTACTTCAAAATAGTGTGCCAAAATCCCTCCTTCAATTTATTGAAAGTTTTCTTCATCTACAAAATAAACTTCCATTTTTCTGCCTCACTTGGAAGGTGTTCTGGAATTTTTCTGTAATTTTGTTGCTGTGCCATTGTGCTTAGTTGCTTTATCCGTATGCGGTGGCCATGAGTGATGTATTTGTCTCCCTAGGAAACCTTCCCACACAGCTCTGCAGTCCCCGGATGCCTCCAGTTACTGATCTTAGCAAAAACTCCATGGGAGGCGTAACCTCACAACATCTACCCCAGGGCTTTCATTGAAGAATGGGAAGCTGGCAAGCAATACCTGAGATCAGTGCACTGGCTTGTTTTGTTTTTGAGGGCAGCCCTTCCTTTCACCATGTATGTGTGGTGGGGGGGGGGGACAGGGAGAAGGAGGTTTCTGCCCTGATTTCTTTAAATGTGAACATATTTCAATTGAATAAAACAATAAACAGCTGTCAGGCACATGGTAGGGGCCCTCCTGCTCCTACAGAAAAACCCAGCCTATGACGGAGGCTTTCAAGAAGTGTGGACACCCAGGAAGGCTGCCGACCACTGAGAGGATTTGAGGAGTGCTCACAGACACACTCTGGCAACCTGGAAGGTATGGTAAGGGCCACAGATACATGGTACTCTGCTAGGGTTGCCACCTTTGTTCTAGCAAAATACAGGACAGGATGGTGGCAGGCAGGTAGGAGTGGTGGTGGAGGAGGGGGGGCGGCAATTTTCTTTTCCAGCTGGTGCTGAAATTACTTCAAAGCACTCCATTATCATCTACTGCAGCCCAGCCATACGGCCCCTCTGGAATTTGTCACATGCCCAAACACACACAATTATTATTATTATTTTGTAGATCTGTCTGTGCTTTGCACAAACCCTTTCACACACTTGCAGGCCAGAGCAAAATAAATAAATAAAGGTGGGCATATTCTGATGAGGGGGAGAGCTTTGTTCCACATGTTAAATTTCTGAAAAAGAGAGAAAATATGACAGAGTGGCAGGTTGGGGGGTGGGAGAGCCTTGTGGGGAGCTACTTCACTCCCACCCTCCTCTCTCAAATATAATGCAGATAAATAACTACTGTATGTTCAGAATACTGTATTTATGCAAGAAGATCAAACGCATCCATTCTTAAGGAAATCAGCCCTGAGTGCTCACTGGAAGGACAAATCATGAAGCTGAGGCTCCAGTACTTTGGCCACCTCATGAGAAGAGAAGACTCCCTGGAGAAGACACTGATGCTGGGAAAGATGGAGGGCACAAGGAGAAGGGGGCGACAGAGGACGAGATGGTGGGACAGTGTTCTTGAAGCTACAAACATGAGTTTGACCAAACTGCGGGAGGTAGTGGAGGACAGAAGTGCCTGGCAGGCTCTGGTCCAGGGGGTCACGAAGAGTCGGACACGACTAAACAACAACAAAATGTTCAGAACTGGGGCTTCTGGGCTACACCAACACAAATTGCTTGTTTCTAGAGCCTCAGAACCTGTTTGTCTCTGAGGCGCCCAGTGCTCCCAGGCTGCAACTCTGCAGATGGCCACCTTAACCCAGCCCAAGCTGCAGGGAACTGGAAGGGACAGCATGAAAGCCTTTCCCTGGTTTGCTCCTCCTTGGGGTGGAATGAGGAGAGGGAGCAAGGAGAAAAAAGGGAAGGAAGGAAAGATGGGAGAGACCGTTTCTCCAGCCAAGCCAATTGCAAGAGCAGAGGCAGGCAATTGGAGAGGATCCTTAACTTGGAAGACACACGAGAAAGAGAGAGTACAGGAGCAGAGAAGAAATAGGAGAAATAAAGGGCAAACTGCCCTGTATTGAATCAATATAGGACACAACGTTTTACTTAGAAATAAGGGGCAATCCCGTATTAAAGAGGACAGGTGGCAATCCTATACCCCCCTCTGAAAATCCCACCAACATTTTCTCTCCCCTTCCATAATTCTCAGAAGGAAGTTCAGTTCTCATGAATTGATGGAGAACAGTTTAAAAAGAAAACCACAGAAGGAATTTTGTTATTTGTAAAATGTATATATTTAAGCAACTCTCCAGCTCCGTGTCGACCCTCTTCTTTATTCCCCAGGGGGGTGACCTGGCCTTCTGCCTCCAAGTCCTACCCGGGGGGGGGATCAGACCCTCCTTCCACCATCTTTTCCGTGATCGCTCTCCTGACCCCGGAGAAAGAGGCCGTGGCGCTTGGGCCTCCCTCTCCCCCCCCCCGAAAGGCGGAGGGCGCCCCTCGCACAGCCCTCCGAAATCAAGGGGGGAAACGGCGAGGCTCCCGCTCGCTCGCTCGCTTGGCCGTTGTTTCTTTAAGGTCCCCTTCAATGCGAGGGAGCCCGGCCGAGGGGGGTTTCCGCTGGCGCCTTCCCTCCGCTTCCCGCGGGGCCGAGGGGGCGGGCGGGCTGGGGGCGCCGCGCGTCTCCCCGCCGGGCGCCTTCCTCCTCCTCCTCCTCCTCCTCCCGGCGGGGCGTCCCCCTTCCACGCCCGGCCCCTCCAGTGACATCAGCGAGGAGGTCCCTGCGCGGACGTCGAGGGGACGCCGAGGCGCTCGCTCGCTCGCCAGCCTCGCCTCCTGCTCGGCTCCATTCCCGGCGCTGGAGCGCTGCCCTCCTTGCTGGCCCCGGGGCGGGCGGCTCGACGGCCAGCGGAGGAGGTAAGGGGGCGCGCGGGCTGGGACTCCCCCCCCCGGGGCTCAGGCATCTCCCTCCAAGTCCGGGGTCAGGAAGGGGGGTGTTTTTGGGGGGAAGCTTCTCGGCTGGAGGGATGGTGCGCGGAGGACCCCGAGGTGGGGCGGGGCGGGGACCCGGGGGGGAAGGTTGGGGGTTTTTTGGGGGGGGGCTTCTCCCTTGGACCATGCTGGCTGGGGTCTGCAATACCCCGCAGGGATGGGGACTGGGAGCGGGGGCGGAGAAGCCCAAGCGCCGGGCCCAAGCGCCGCGCCCCTCGAGGGAGCTCCCTTGCGCGCCGCTGCTCGCCTCTCGCCTGGCGGAGGGGGACTCGCCGCTCCCCGGCCGGCCAGGGCTCTCGCGCCGCCGCGCCTTCGGCCGCACCCGTTGCTTCGCTCCGAGCGCCCTTCATCCGGCTCGGGGTGGTCTCCTTTCCTTCGAGAATGGGAAGAGCAGCTGGGGGGCGAGCGACGTGGATGGAGGCCGGGGGGCTGCCCCGGCTTTGCTCGCAGCTGGATGCAAAGAAGGGAAAGTCTGGCCCCGTGGGGGCGGCGGGTTCGGGTCCCTTTGGGCCCCTGGACGGCGCCCGGTGTGGCTTTGCGGATCCAGAAGAACCCGCCGCAGTTCCCCAAGGCTGTGATCGTGGGAGTGAGCCCTTCTGAAGTCGGTCGAGTACACGTGGAGAAGGCTTACCTGATGTGTTGAAAACAATGGCTGTTCTTTTGAACCCCACTCCTAAGTGGAATTTTTACACCAAAAGTTTAACCAGGCTTTGTTCTGAGGATCTCCTGCCTAGCACCGCAAAGGGGGAATGTTAGTAAAACCAGGAGGAGAAATGTGATCAATATGATCCGGTTCCTTTGGGGAGGGGTAATTCTGTGTTGGCTGGTGGTCTGGCTTGTTTCTGTCCACGGCTGTATTTTGTATGGTTGATCATTGATGGGTGTGCTGTGGTTTTCATCGTGTTTGCTAAATAACTTAAATTACTAGGTTTTGTTGCTGTATTGCGTGAACTGCTCTCAATTATCTCTGAAGAGTAGGATATAAATAAAATTATCATTGTTTATTATCCTTATCCAAGCAGCCTATTATAAGTTGCACCCAAATCTTCTAGTATAAAGCAGCAGAAAAAATTGGCCATTCTTCCATGATATTTACAGGACATTATATTCTGCTGATGATTTTGTTTATTTTTTTAAACTTTACTATAGCTAGTAGTAGCAAAAAAAGTGCTTACGGGCAAAAGGTTGTTCTTCAGTTGTGTAAATCATTGCAGCAACCTGAATAGCAGCGCAAACAGTTCCTGTGTTATGTGCTCTCCCCAACCCCCTTTACGTCTACTGAGATGATGATACAAACATTTAAGTATTTATAATGTACTATAAAACTAGAAACCGGATTAGAAAAACAATATTTTTATGACATTTTAGTATTTGCATGGGGTTAGCTAAACTTTCAAAGCTGTTGGCTAAGGCCGCTGGTGAGGAGTCAGAAAGTAGAGATGACCTCTCTTATTGCACTGGGCAAATCAGTTCTTAGTGCTTTAGTTTGTTCTCCACATACCCTACTTATTCCCACAAAGCAGGGGGCAGCAGAACATTTACTTGGCATCACTCTGATTGGGCTATTTGCCTTCAAGTTCTGAGAGAACTTTGGTAGTATCCAATTCTGGACAGGTCGCATTCAAGACATTTTGCCTGCCCAAGAGGCTGCAGCAGACACAAATCCAGGACTCTTGGTACATCGGAAGATTTGGTGGTACAGTGACCAATGCCGCTTAATGCACTCTGATGTGTTACAGTGAGATGGGGAACCCGGCAGATGTTGCTGCACCACAGCTCCATCAGCCCTGACCTTTGTCCATGCTGACTGGGGTGTGTGTGTGTGACGGGACTTTGAGTCACAACCTCTGGATGGCGGAAGATTCCCCATCCCTCTCTTAGGCCCTAACCTCACTACATTTAAGGCAGCACCATAGCACTTTAAACAGTCCCTGAAAGAACCCTATGAATTATAGTTTGTTAAGGGTGCTCTGCATTGTTGGGAGACCCTGTTCCCCTCAAAGGGCTGTAATCTGCAGAGTTCCCTGGGAAGAGGGATTGATTGTCAAGCCACTGTGTAGAAATTGTAGCTCTGGGGGGAATAGGGGTCTCCTGACAATTCTCCTTGACAGGCTTCTTTGGGGGAGCCCAGGACTGCTTGAAGTGATGATGCTTTAAAAGTACAGGGCAGGTGAGGGGATTCTGAGGGGCAGCACTTGAGCTGCATGCCAACATGAGTGACTGCCTGGCTCAGTCCTGATCCTGCAAACATAGGAGCCAACTCCAAGGGGCCAATGTCCCTTCGGCCCACCCAATAAAATATTTGAGGGGCTGTGCCCCCCAAGTTGATGGACGTTGCCTTTCAAATGGTGTGTGTACACTGTGTTAATTATTTGGGTTGGGTTTTACTTGCCCCCTCCCATATTTTACTCAAGTTGGCACCCTTGCTTGCAAATGATGGTCTCTGAAGAGAAGGTCCCTTAATATTTATGTGTGGTGACAGCGTGGAAGAAACAAACCCTCTGCTCACTTGTTTTATTCCCTCTAACTGTGAGGCTTAGTCATGGCTCTGTTTGTGACAAGATAAGCAAACTGCCTGAAGTGATTTTGAGAATTCTGCCTTTTCATGGACTGTGTGGATCAGACACAGGCCATTGCAGCTGAGCCTGCAAACTCTGCCCAAGTAAACCTTGGATGACACTGCAGCTGCTTCTAGATGCAGTTTGAGTCTGCTTTGCTGCTTAAGAATCTCTGAGGTCTTTTTTAACTATATGGTGGGGCTCAGATATTTATTTATTTTCATTCATTAAACTGATATCCTCCCCTTCCAGCCAAAGGAGGCCAGGGCAGCAGGGGACACCAATACACCAAAACCAGCACCTTAACCTTAGCCCAGTAGCTGATTGGCAGCCAGTGCAATTCTTTCAACAGTGGAGTGACCTGTTGGAAATATCCTGCCAGCTGCAGCTCCTGGTCCCACCTCAAGGGCAGCCCCACAAAGAGCGCATTGCAGTAATCCAGCCTGGATGTTACCAGCCCATGGATGACAGCTGTCAGGCTATACCAATCCAGAAACGCCCACATCTGTCCTGCTAGCTGAAGCTGGCAGTTGAAGTGCACCTAGCCACCAAGGTCACTTGGGCCTCTAGCAACAAAGATGAGTCCATGAGCCACTACGAACTTGCTCTTTGGGGAAAGTACAGCCCCGTCCAAAGCAGGCAATTGACCAATTATCCAGGGTTGTGAACCACCCACTCACAGTGCCTCTGTCTTGCCAGGATTCAGTTTTTTGGCTCACCACAGAGTCTAGGCATCAGCCCAGGACTTGCAAGGCCTCTCCTTTTTCGGATGCTACAGAGAGAGGTGTCCTCAGCATACAGGCATGCTTAAATATAAAAATCTGTCCTGAGTTCCAGCAGTTTTGAAAGCTAATGTTTATTGAGCTAATGTTTGTAATTAGGTTGTCTTCTTATTTTATTTATTTCATATTTATTAGATTTATAGACTGCCCTTCATCGAAGGATCTCACAAGATAAATGCACAAATAAATAGTTAAAATAAAAACAACAAAATGATGACCATCACCCTACAAACATATTTAAAAGGCTGTAGAAACTTAATCATCCAAAGGCCTGGTTGAAGAGAAACACTTCCCCTGGCATCTAAAGATATACTGTGAAAGTGCTAGATGAACCTCCCTGGGGAGAGCATTCTACAGACGGGGAGCCACTGCAGAAAAGGCCCCATTCTCATATTGCCACTGTCTGGACCTTACATGGAGGGGGCACACAAATGAGGGCCTCCCTGGGTCCACCATATATGGCGAGAGAATGACTTTAGGAGAAATCCTTTTGATTTGTTACTTATTTGATTTATTAATTATTATGTTTTGTCATTCATAAGTTATAATTCCCCGGCAAGAAAAACCTATGTATCTTTGAGCCGGGGAGAAGACTGGTTAGCTGTGGTTATCTGCTAGTGCAATATTTGTGGAGAAAGAAACCTGCAAGGGGCCGTAATTTGAAGAAGAGGAAAAGCAGGTGGTGGGAAGGAATAGGCAGGTATGTGTCACAGATGTGGCATCTCAGCTCAGGGCCCCCTTTTTAAGATAAAAGGTGTTGGGGTTTTCTTACAGACTATTGTGTGTAATGTGTAGTCTTCCTCTCCAAACTATGCTGGCTAGAACAACATGAACAAAAGGATGTAGGTTTTATCTAGCAATCAACTTTTCCAGATGCGTGTCTGCCATCACTGCACACAAATATTGATTTTTATTTCTGCAGGGGTCTTAAAAGTCTAGTCTTTTTATTTGTGGAGACTGTTCTCCAGGATTTCCAGAAGTCTGTGGAGCATTTTTTGCATCCTGCCCCTTTCTGGCACATTAAAAAACCCAGTACTGCAAATTTGATTTTTGCAGGCATCAGGGAGGTGTGTTTTTTGTTTTTGTTTTGGTCAATAGGTGCAAAATGATGCTGTTTTCTTTCTGTGTGCAAGAATGTTATGGCCCAAATGTGGTGGCTTTCAAGAATATTTCTCAAGAGCAAGTGGATTGCATGCATCTGTGACCTGGAATGTTTGAGCTATGCAGACGCCATGTGGCTCCACCAGCTCTTGAGCGATGCCTATTCTACAGTGGTGCTCTTAGCCCCCAGCCTAACAATTTATTGGAATACATTTACTTATTAACATTTAACTTGGATTCCAGCAAGTAGTAGCCAGTGACTTAGCTGCAGTTTAGTGCTTTCTAATTTTAATATGCTTTCATTTCATCACATTCATGCTAGCTCTCTGTGAAGTCCCTGGTGTGTTCAGCTTCCTAGCCGTGACAGAAGTTGTTCCTGGGCTTAGCACTCTTTCTTTCCTTCTCTGTTTTCTTTCTTTTTAGCATCCAGCCAGCATGTCTGATTTCTCGACTCTGGCTTGCACTGTGTCAATATGCCTGCTTC